TGTAATGTAAAAGCTGCATTCTCTACGAAAAAATTCAAACTCCTGAACGACTACACCAACACCAGGGAAGAGTTGCGCAACCTGAGTGACACCACCACCGATAGCAAGAGCGAAGAAGATGAGGATCAACAGTTGGCACAGCAAAAAATACTGTTCAAACAATTCTGGAGAGTATTTAACATCAAGAAAGCTGTGGACTTCTTGGTGGAGTCATGGGATCAGCTGTCTATTGCTACAATTCGTCACGCATGGAGACATGTGTTGCATGGAATACCAGGTGAGAGGAGGAGTCAATCTGTGACTGGTGAGGTTCAGACTGTTGCAGTAGCAGTGGACCTTGCCAGAGAAGCTGCGCAGACTGTTACAGTTCCAGGCTTCTCCGAGACCACCAACGACGACATCCTGGAGGTGATAAGGGATCCTGATGTGACTACCGACGAGATGGTAAATGATGATGATGACGACGTCAGTGAAGAGGCAGGTGGTGCGTCATCCCAAGAAGAACAACACTTATCCCATAGTAATGTTAGGGGTGCCATCGAGTGTATCGAGAAAGCCAAGCTCCTCCTTTCCGACGACCCTGACGCAAACAGGTATGAAATCTTCACTACCCAGCTGTTGCAGACTATAGAGCCCTACATCAAGGTGTATCACGACAACATCAATACTAGCCGTCAGCAAAGCATAACAGATTTCTTCGCCCGCAACCCACCACAGCCAGCCCAAGCCGGTGATAGTGACAGTGAAGATGACTTTGAGGGATTTGCCAGGGAAGCCCTGACAACTGTAAGTGACAGTGATGGTGATTCACCTAATAATGGTGATTCACCTGAGGGCCAGTAATCTGCCCTCTGCCTCGGAACCAGCCTCCATCCCCGTATGCCGACACATCTCTTCTACTAACGTAAGTGTTCCACATAACTTTTAGTTTTCCTAACCTAACCTTTATTTTTCTTATGTTAACCTTTATTTTTCCAAACCTAACCTCTTCTATATTACTTGTTTTTTCATACCATCATAAAGTTAAGATAAAATTTTTACTACAACAAAGTTGTGTGTCGTCAAAAAGTGGAGTTTGGGGGTTGGCCCGGACTCTAATTCAATTAATCCCATATGTTATGTTATTCACTTTCCGCGGGACCCTGCGGGTTACATTAACCGCGTAAAGTGAGGGTTGACTGTATATATATATTTCATTAGCCCAATAAATCACGCGGACTTCTACATATAATCAACACCTCAACCCACCAGGATTCGAAACCATGGCCCACGAGTCCATGACTGTTACCGGGAAACGCTGCCGCTGGACCACCAGGATACTAAAAGCAGTCCTAGACTTTGTTATATTTCACACAAATCCTGTTCAACGAGCTTATGGCGCCGTGAACCTCTAATGGGGACTACCCGTATCACGTAGGTGGTCAGAGTAACATTTTACCAAATCCGGCTTCGAAACACGAGGATCCATATATATTTCATTAGCCCAATAAAGCACGCGGACTTCTACATACAATCTACACCTCAACCCGCCAGGATTCGAACCCATGGCCCACGAGCCCATGACTGTGACCGGGGAATGGCGCCATAAGCTCATTGAACAGGCTTTGTGTGAAATATAACAAAGTCTAGGACTGCTTTTAATATCCTGGTGGTCCAGCGGTAGCGTTTCCTGGTGACAGTCATGGGCTCGTGGGCCGTGGGTTCGAATCCTGGTGGGTTGAGGTGTTGATTGTATATATATATATATATATATATATATACAGTAGTACCCCGATTTACGCGGTCAATTGAACCCACAGGGTACCGCGTAAAGTGAAAACCCCGTAAAGTGAACAACATTACATATGGGATTAATTCCAATAGAGACTGGCCCGACCCCCAAACTCCACTTTTTGACGACACACAACTATGTTGTAGTAAAAATATTATCTTAACTTTATGATGGTATGCACACTCAATTAATAATTAAGAGAAATATCAATAATATTAGTTTTTTTAGCACTTACATTAGTAGAAAAGATGGCTGGGCACACAGGGATGGGGGTTTGGTTCCGAGGCAGAGGGCAGATTATTGGCCCTCACCTGTATCACTTGTATCAATTGTATCACTATCCACCACATAGGCTTGCAGGGCCTCTTTGTCAAACCCCTCAAAGTCCATATAAGTCTATATCCTCACTATCACTTACTTGGGCCGGCTGTAGTGGGTGGCGGGTGAAGAACTCGGTAATGTTTTGATGACTGGGTGACCTTGTGCGCACCCTGCTAGTTCCGCTCTCCGCGTAAACAGGTACACACACCACGGAAAGTGAGCAATCCGTGTTCGGCAGGATACCGCGTAAACGTGGAAACGCGTAAAGTGGGACCGCGAAGCGAGGGTTGACTGTAGTCTGCATATACGCGGTCAATTGAACTCGTGGAGGTCCACGTAAAACCAGAAACTCGTTAATGAAATAATAGAACATATGGGATTAATTGAAATAGAGACTGGGCCGACCCCCAAACTCCACTTTTTCCGACACAATACGTACCTTGTAGTCAAATAACATCTTAATTTTATGATGATATGCACACACAATTAATAATTAAGAGAAATATCAGTAATATAAGGTTTTTTAACACTTACGTTAGTAGAAAAGATGGCTGGGCACACGGGGATGGGGGGCTGGTTCCGATGCAGAGGGCAGATTATTGGCCCTCACCTGTATCAATTGTATCACTATCCACAACAGAGGCTTGCAGGGCCTCTTTGTCTAACCCCTCAAAGTCCATATAAGTCCATATCCTCACTATCACTGACTTGGGCCGGCTGTGGTGGGTGGCAGGTGAAGAAGTCGGTAATGTTTTGATGACTGGGCGACCTTGTGCGCACCTTGCCTGCGCCGCTTCCCGCGTAAATGATGGAATGAACCGTGTAAATAAAAATTGTCGGTCTGGCAAGGCACTGCGTAAATGGCCAAACGCGTTAACAAAAACCGCGTAAATCCAGACTATACTGTATATATATATATGCTTATTTTGATCATTGGTTAACCATTGTCCTCAAGTATTACTCAAACATAATTCCGTCTTCACTAATGATGCTTGAAGTCCAGGTAACTCTCGTTTTACTGTCGTTTGGAATAACGCGATTGTTCAATTAATACCAAAAAATAATTTTCGTGTGCCTATTTTTGAAATAACGCTCTCAAGAGGATTTAAATTTGCCGCGCGTATTTGCCTGGTTGTGGAGTAGCGTGTGATGCCTGGTGAGGTGCTTGTAAGTTATTACAGGCATCCTCCAAGTTACGGAACTCCGTGTTGCGGAATTTCGCTCCTACAAAATTTGTAAATTATGACTAATAATTTCGCAATATGGCCAGTATATCCATCCCTACGAAAATTTGGGTAAATTTTAACAATTTAAAAAAAATCGCTATAAAAATTTTTTTTTTTTAATTATTATTTGTTTGGTGTAGATTTCTTGATGTTTGCTACCGCCAAGCGTGGCATTGCCATGCGGAGTATCTCCATTATTTACATCCAGTGTGCGTGCATGTTTCTCTCCCCAACAGTTTGATTCAACTGTTACAAACATTTAGTAAGAACAGTACAGTGCATTACCCTTATTCAAGATGACTGGAAAGAGGCCATCATGTGGAAGTGACCGCAGTAGTGCAAAATGAAACTGTAAAGGATTTACATTGGATATTAAATCTGATTTCTTAAGAAGGTATATCATAAATTATTTAATGTGCTGTATTGTATGTGTTTATAAATGTTTATTTTCATTCATATAAGTGCTTGAGTTACTGTTTGGGGCCGAAAAAAATTCCTTAGGAACGCATCTCCTTTTTATAATGTAAGTCAATGGGAAAAAGGTTTCGCGTTACGGTATTTTACGATACTGTCAATTTTCCAGGAACACAACCCTTCCATAACGCAGGGTATGCCTGTACTATAAAGTCGCAGTCATATCAACGTCAACGATTTTGATATTATTTATATTAATAATAATAATTATTATAATAATAATGTAATAATAAAGATTATTACTACTAATGAAGATAATGATAATAATGAAGTATTCTGTACAACAATTGTGACCACGTCCAGCAAGCTTCCCTCGTATCACTTTCTCAGTTCACACCAGCACTACTTTTTCTCTGTGCTTTCATTTGCATTGTGTGTTTATCACGTACCTTTTTAGTGCTAAACGCTGTTTTCCCCATCGAGCATTTCTGGTAAATGTCCATCTGCCTCCTCTGGGGTGCCTAAAGCTAAAAAGGCACGAAAAACAATCGCAGTGGATGTGAAATTAAATGTGATCACTGCCTTCAGAGAGGAGAGTGTGTGTCGGATGTTGGCCACGTACTTGGTTTAAGTGAGAGCACTGTTCATACCCTGCGTGGTATATGATGGTTCCCCTAACCTGTACCATTTACATGTATTCTTATGGGAAAATTATGTTTAAATTATGCGTTTTTTAATTAAGCGGTGATTTTCAACAACGTAACCCCCGCGTAAAACGAGAGGTGGGTGTACGTCTAGCAACATCACATGCGTTGATCTCAGCTAATTTCTCCTTCTCTTGTGATTGGTTGATGATTTTGTTAACTGAGCAATGATTGGCCAACTAGCTCTTGCACTGCTATCTACCGTCAGACAAGAGAACTGAAATTACAGGGTAAACACTAGAGTTACGGACTGCTTACTGACCCGTAATTAAATTTGGAGTATGAGAAATTTACGGGAATGTGAGGAGTCTAAAAGTTACGGTATCGTTTCTCTGCTACTGTACGTAACTGATGAGGTGTTTTGAGTACGCTGCCTCTCAACATCCCCAGCCAATCCAACAGTTAGTGAGCAATGTACAGACTCTAGTTAGGGAAGTGAGGCTATTGGAGTACAGTGCAAAGCCAGCCAAATTGTCTCCTGGGGTAAGTATCTACCAGTAAGTCTTCCATCAACTATGGAATTCTGAAAACTTCAGCATTATGATACTGTTCACTTTATTTCAGACATAAAGGTGTGAGTGGATGGAAAGGAACATTATGGTAGCATCAGGAGGCCATCCCACACAAGAGGCAGAACAATTCCTCACAACTGTATAAGTCAGGACAGTATGAGGATTAGTGAACATCTTCAGGAGAACATTGTAAACAAGATTAAGGTAAATTGTCAACTCTCCAAGTCTTAAGTTACAAATATGAAAGTCAAGTTGGTGTTCTAGGAAACAGTGAGAATAAAAAGAAGGTTCACACAAGTGAATCTTTCTCCTGACAATACCAGTTAATGTGATGCACTGTGTTATATAATGTCTAATTACAGTATGATGAGTGTTGTAATGTTTCTACCTAAACAACTACCTTGTGACTTGTGCTTGTGTACACTGCTGATAAAAGTTTCAATATATAAATGTGACAAGTGTTTGTCTGCTGTGCTTGTGTACTGGTGAGATAAGTTCACTTGGGGTAAATATTCTCACACAAGTCAGCTCAAAAACCACATATGTGTGTAGAATTATTAATGTAAATCTAGCTGTGAAGAGTGGAGAACTTTTTATACAATACAAAAGTTACCCAAACGTGTGACACTGAAGGAAATGTTTTCTTGTATGGAGTGTTGTAAAGTGTGTAAAAGATGGCCCAGTTTATGAATGAAATAGCTGGACATAGCGGCCAAAATAATTATGAGTGTGTACAGTGTGGTGAATTATTTTACAGTAATGATTCATTGAAGATGCATAGCTGTATGGCTGAACACACTGATGAGATAAATATTAAGTGTGAAGAGTTTGATGAAAGCTTTAACAGTAACTATGATGAGATTAATATTAAGTGTGAAGAGCTTGATGAAAGCTTTAACAGTAACTATGATGTGACACAACATGTGACTGTTAATGAGATTTATATTAAGTGTGAAGAGCTTGATGAAAGCTTTAACAGTAACTATGATGTGACACAACATGTGACTGTTGATGAGGTAAATATTAAGTGTGAAGAGCTTGATGAAAGCTTTAACAGTAACTATGATGTGACACAACATGTGACTGTTGATGAGATTAATATTAAGTGTGAAGAGCTTGATGAAAGCTTTAACAGTAACTATGATGTGACACAACATGTGACTGTTGATGAGATTAATATTAAGTGTGAAGAGCTTGATGAAAGCTTTAACAGTAACTATGATGTGACACAACATGTGACTGTTAATGAGATTAATATTAAGTGTCTCAAAAGTGGTAAAAGTTATGACAAAAAAGAACAACTAAAGCATCATATGGCTGTACACACTGGTGAGAAGAATTTTAAGTGTGAAGAGTGTGGTAAAAGTTATTCCAGAAAGGGCTATCTGAAGCAGCATATGGCTGTACATGCTGGTGAGAAGAATTTTAAGTGTGAAGAGTGTGGTAAATGTTATTCCACAAAGGGCAGTCTGAAGTATCATATGGCGGTACACACTGGTGAGAAGAATTTTAAGTGTCAAGAGTGTGGTAAAAGTTATTCCAGTAAGAGCCATCTGAAGCAGCATATGATTGTACACGCTGGTGTGAAGAATGTTAAGTGTGAAGAGTGTGGTAAAAGTTATTCCAGTAAGAGCATTCTCAAGCAGCATATGATTGTACACACTGGTGAGAAGAATTTTAAGTGTGAAGAGTGTGGTAAAAGTTATTCCAGTAAAAGCATTCTGAAGCAGCATAAGGTTGTACACACTGGTGAGAAGAATTTTAAGTGTGAAGAGTGTGGTAAAAGTTATTCCAGTAAGAGCAATCTGAAGCAGCATATTGTTGTTCACACTGATGAGAAGAATTTTAAGTGTGACGAGTGCGGTAAATGTTATTCCAGTAAGAGCCTTCTGAAGCAGCATATGGTTGTACACACTGGTGAGAAGGATTTTAAGTGTGAAGAGTGTGGTAAATATTTTTCCAGAAAAAATGATCTGAAGAAGCATATGATTGTACACACTGGTGAGAAGAATTTTAAGTGTGAAGAGTGTGGTAAATATTTTTCCAGAAAAAGTGATCTGAAGAAGCATATGATTGTACACACTGGTGAGAAGAATTTTAAGTGTAAAGATTGTGGTAAATGTTATTCCAGAAAGAGCCATCTGAAGCATCATGTGGTTGTACACACCGGTGAGAAGAATTTTAAGTGCAAAGAGTGTGGTAAATGTTATTCCAGAAAGAGCATTCTGAAGCATCATATGGTTGTACACACCGGTGAGAAGAATTTTAAGTGTAAAGAGTGTGGTAAATGTTATTATACAAAGGGTCTTCTGAAGAGACATATGGCTGTACACACTGATGAGAAGGATCTTACATGAAATTTGTAGGGAAAGGTCTTACCGTATATCTCAGCCTATAAGGCGGCGGGGTGCATAAGACGGCCCCCCAAATTTCCATTTAAAAAGTAGCTTTTGAGCTCTATTCGCTGTATAAGACCGGTACCCCAAATGTGACACTTACCCACTGACCCAGTAGTCCTTTACCAACCATCCTTGGTTTTTTATAATAAGGTGAATTCACTTCAAGTAATGTCATCAAATGTTACCGGCTGGTGTAGTGTAAACACTAGTGATGTCACTTAAGCGTCTGCTATTTACCGGTAACTGGAACTAATGTCGGTGTCGAGTAAAATTTTTCCATTTACTTGAAATGGATTTACCGATTTATTTGTTTATTTATTTATTTATAATATACTGTAACATATTAAACACACTGCAAGTATTTTCTTTAATTTATACGCTTGCTTCGCACGAGACAATCGGTGGTGGGAGTGTTCCCTCGTCTCGGTGGTGGGACTGTGTTCCGACTGTTTATACAACAGCTACCACCGTATTCTAATTGTGGTGTTTCATTAGGATTTGAGTGAAAAAGATTACATACTTACTACATATATTTATTACACAAACACACAGACATATACAGAAAAGTCCAAAAATCCGGATGCCAGAAATACGGACCACCCGAGAATCCGGACTTTTGGAAAACTAATTACTATGATTATTATTATTTATTTATTTTTTTTTTAGCGGGCTTTTGTGTGTATGTGCGCATGCGTGAGCGCCACAGCTGCACAGCGACAACAAGTGACCACGTGGTCGCCACTTTGAAACGAGCAATCAAACTGTGACAACATACTGTATATACAGTACTCATCTATAACCCCCCCCTCGTTTATCGGTCGACCCTGATTTTTTGACCAAGAAATCGTTAATTTATGATATTCCTCGTTTATAGTTCGACCCACATTTTTGAGGGTAAGGGAACAACAAAACCTTCAGTAAAAACGCTCTACGTCCTATAAACTGAAACACGAGTGCCGAAGGCAAATTGTTTACCATTTATTATTACGACACTTTACACTGAAACGCGTGTAGTTTCAACAAAAATATTGTAAATTTCCATTCAAGTATTTATTCAAGTCAATTAGGAGGGAATATTATTGTAATACAACAGTTGTTTAACTAAACCATTCGAAAAGCGATTACGGTAACATCTTTTGAACGAAAGAAAGCGAAAGTCATTGTTTTCGTCACGATTTTAGCCCACTTTCCACTGTAATATGTACGTAATTTCAGCAAAAATATTACATTTCCGTGAATGTATTATATCAAGCACAGTATGAATAAAATATCATTGTAATATAACAGAATTTTAACCGAAAACTATTAAAAAAACGAGTAACATCTCGAGAACATCGGAAGCTTAGGTAAAGTCTTTTGTTTTCGTCATGTATTTTATCCTATTTTACATTGAAATACATCACGTTTCAGCAAAACTACTATTTATTTCCGAGAATATATTCATTCAGGCGCAGTTTAGGTAAAATATATGTGTGATGTAATAGTTTTTTAACTGAAAACGATTCGAAAAACACGTACCCTCTAGCCCTGTTCAAGGAGAGACTGGGAGAAGCAGTTTGGTGCTGCAGACGATGACAAAGAAAATGATTTTGATGGATTTTAATGAAAATATTCAGAAATATGGTATCGTAGTATTTATTCAAGTCAATTAGGATAGAATATTATTGTAATACAGTACAACAGTTTTTTAACTAAACCATTCGAAAAGCGATTACGGTAACATCTTTTGAATGAAAGAAAGCGAAAGTCATTGTTTTCGTCACGATTTGATCCCACTTTCCACTGTAATACGTACGTCATTTTAGCAAAAATATTACATTTCCGTGAATGCATTATATCAAGCACAGTATGAATAGAATACCATTGTAATATAACAATATTTTGAGTCCTACTCTTTCCATTTACAGATTACTGTACAAGCCCATAATAATGGCTCCTAAAGTAGATAAACTTCGTTGTGTGAAGAGAAAGAAGAACACGTTGAAATTGAGTGACAAACTTCAAATAATTAAGAAACTAGTACGTGGTGTGAGCAATACTGTTCTAATGGAAAATACAACATTGGAAAGTCTACAATTTATGATATAAAAAAGGCAAAGAATAAAATTCTAGAATTCACAGCTTTTTCATTAAAACTGCTCGTTTTGATAAATGAAGCATGCTATATTTGCTAATGAATAAACTATCAAAATGTACCTGTTCACCTCTTCTTTATTCCTCCTTAAATTTGAATTTTAAAAGTACTGCCTGAGAATCCGGAAAATCCGAGAATCCGGACCGACTCAATCCCCAAGCAGTCCGCATTTTTGGACTTCAACTGTATATATATATATATATATATATATATATATATATATATATATATATATATATATATATATATATATATATATATATATATATATATATATATATATATATATATATATATATATATATATATATATATATATATATATATATATATATATATATATATATATATATATATATATATATATATATATATATATATATATATATATATATATATATATATATATGCTGATAACCACAAGGAAAGAAGAAAACACGAAGTTCCCAAGCGCTTTCGTGTAATTCACATGTTCAGGGGTGAGTACAGACTAAGGAGAAGTACAAAACAAGGTGTATATATACAGAGGAGGGTGAGACCAGGTCCACAATGGTCAGGTATTAGGTAATGACCCTACTAATCTTTAAATAGCACCGCAACGGACAGTAGTCATGTCAGAGGGTAAGGTGACCCAACCTTCTCACCTGATATATATATATATATATATATATATATATATATATATATATATATATATATATATATATATATATATATATATATATATATATATATATATATATATATATATATATATATATATATATATATATATATATATATATATATATATATATATATATATATATATTTACATTGTTGAAAGATCATTTTATATAAACATCATAGATTTTGCATTAGACATACAAATTTTAGATATAATGTTTACTCTGAGTAAATATTTTCTTTTTGCAAAATATATGACATTTGTATTCAAAATATTCCTAGTCTTACAAGGAATCCAGCGATGTCAATTATATTATCCTAACTTTTAGTTTCAGGTATTATTTATTACTATACCTGGTTTTCCCCAAAATTTCCTCAGAGAGGAAGAGCCAGGAGTGTTGAGTTTATTTGAATGGACATTAACTTGACTGTATTTCTCTATTTTAATTGAAAATAGAGTTTGGGGGTCAGCTGGTTTCTATTTCATTTAATCCCATATGTTATGTTATTCCTTGCGCCACACCCTGATTTACGCGGTCAATTGAACCCACAGGATACCACGGAAAGTGAAAAATCACAGTAGTGAACAACAGAACATATGGGATTAATTTAATAGACTGGCTAACTCAAACTCCACTTTTTCCAAATACATGTTGTAGTAAAAATAACATCTAAATTTTATGATGGTATGCTCACACAATTAATATTTAAGAGAAATACAGTCGCCAGGTTAATGTCCATTCAAATAATGACTCAAATTCTTCCAGCTCACTGGCCCTACCTCTGAGAAATGATTGGGTGAAACACTAGATTTTAACGCTAGTAATAAATAATACCTCAGACTAAAGTTAGGATAATATAATTGACATTTCTCGATTCCTTGCAGGTCAGGGAATATTTTGAATGTAAACTCCATATACTTTGCACAAAAGATAAAATACTTGCTTTTTGTAAACCAAATTATTATATTAGATCTAAAATTTGTATGTCTAATGCAAAATCCATGATGCTTATATTCAAAATGATCATCATATTGTATGAATTCCAGCAATGTAAATTATATTCTGGTCGAGAAGTTTGTATGAATTTTATGAGCTAAAACAAATATCTTCAGTTAAGAAAAAAAAATATTCTTCACGACGCTATCTGTCAATCAAAGTACCCCAACTTGCCTCCCCCCTCTTCCAACTGCGCCAGATGGTCGGTCGGTCCCAACCCCCCACCCCTCACCTTCCTCCCTACCAGAGAAATGTTGGGTGAAAACGATTTTAACTTTTAGTAATAAATAATACCTCAGACTAAAGTTAGGATAATATAATTGACATTTCTGGATTCCTTGCAGAATGGGGAATATTTTGAATGTAAATGTCATATATTTTGAACAAAAGATAAAATATTTGATTTGTGTAAACCAAATTATTACAGTAGATATAAAATTTGTATGTCTAATGCAAAATCCATGATGTTTATATTCAAAATGATCATCATATTGTAAGAATTCCAGCAATGTAAATTATATTTTGGCCGGTAATTTTATGAATTTTAGAGCTAAATAAAAAAAATTATACTTCACCGGTATATGAGTAGATGCAACATGGGCGTAAAGTGAAAGTCCGGTTCTGTCAAGGCACCGCGTAAATGAGAAATCATGAAAGTGAAACGCGCAGAAGCGGGTATTGTATATATTATATATATATATATATATATATATGTAATGTATATATATATATGTATATATATATATATATATACTGTATATATATATATACTGTATATATATATATATATATATATATATATATATATATATATATATATATATATATATATATATATATATATATATATATATATATATATATATATATATATATATATTTTTATATATATATATATATACATACATACATACATACAGTGGGGTATGCTATAATCTAACGTAATTGGTTCCAGAACCTCGCTCGTTATAGCATCTGCTCATTATAGGATTAACTGCCTATGGCCCCCAAATACAACCGCTAACACTGAAAAAATTCTGTGGAAAATGTAAAAATAAGGTACTTTATCTTACCTTAGTGTTATTCAGCATGCAGGTACCCCTAAACACTGGCACATCACTATCACTTCCACTGGGAGTCTTGGCTTTAAGGTCCTCAAACAATTGTTTAGCCTTCTCAAAA